TTAGGACTGAAACGCATGGATTCTGAATGTGGTTCGATGTATCAGCAACTCCCGCTTTTCTCATTCTCAAGTCCCCTTAACAAATGAATGGTAAAGTCACCCAAGCCAATATCAAGGCTTCTCTCCATTTACCAAAGCTTTGTTGTTTCAGCATTTTCACTGTGGCTAATAGGGGAGTGGTTTTGTTCCAGGCAGCAATGAGATCACAGAGGAAGAGGGATTGCAGAGGACAATCTATTGTGGTGTATTGAATTTCCCTCCCCCCATTCTATTCTAACCATGGGCAACAAAAGGCTACAGTAGCCACATAGCTTGCTTCCCCCTCCCTCAACCTGCCCCTTACAAAATTCCCCACAGACCTGTCTGCACACGGAAGACATGGGAGGTGAATACCGAAACAAAAATCAGACAAGTTTCCATTATTAGGTTTTTTTGTGCTCCCGTTTTCTCCTCTTCTCAGTGGCAAAGGGAGCACCCACCACATTGAGGGTTATTGGCTTAGGCCAAACAGTGTAATGTACTTCTTAGAACAGTAAAAACAAGGAGTCCGGTGGCACCTTAAAGGCTAAAAGATTTATTTGAGCATAAGCTTTTGTGGGTAAAAACCCCACTTCTTCAGATGCATGGAGTGAAAATTACAGATGTAGACATAAATATACTGGCACATGAAGAGAGGGGACACCCTTCTCTTCATGTGCCAGTATATTTGTCTGCATCTAATTTTCACCGGACTACTTGTTGTTTTTGTGGATACAGACTAACACGGCTACCCCCCGATTCTTAGATCAGTGGTTCCCTAACGGGTTCGTGAACCCCTGAGGGTTTGCAAAATGTTACAGGGGGTTCTCGGGAAAAAATTCCCTAATGGTGGACAGAGCTGTCCCTAAGAACCCCAGGCAGCACAGGGCCAGCAGCCCAGAGCCCCTGGACTTCCAAGAGCTAAGCAGATCAAAGCAAGCATATTTATCACACTGAGGAGATTTAAACTTCAAGATTCCTTATAAGAAATGGAAAGGGAGGTGGATATTTTTTGCTGTTTTTAAAATGAAATAGGCAGCTAGTATTGTTTTTTAAATTGTTATGAAGAACAAGTTTAAGCCTTGTTGTAACATGTGTTGTTTGCCTGGACTGCTCAAGACCTGAATGCTTGTGTAGGAGGAACTGATACTCCTTGATGAAACATAGGAGCCTTGTCTTATAACAGGCTTATTCAAAGTGATACAAGCTACGAAAGTGAGATCTTGGAAGAGTGTTGCACTTTTCATACAGTATTTTTATTACATTAATGATAATTAATAAGAGTGTAATAAGCATGTCATAAAACAAATTTTATATTTCCAAGATCACTGCTTTTTATAAATTTACACTCAGGTGAAGAAGAAAAATCCCTGGAAATATTCATTTTTAGGAGGGGGATCACGAGATTTGACATTTTAGTGAAAGGGGTCCACAGGTTGTTAATATTTGGGAATCAATGTCTTAGAGTAAACCCACAACATCCTACAGGACCCTGAAGCAGACACCAGAGAGACCAAATACCTAGAGTTTCACACAGACAGCAAAGCATTTCATATGCAATTTTTAGAGGGCAGTAGTAAAAGCATAATAGTAAAAACAATGCGACAGTGATACACGTGGCCTAAAATTGAACAATTCAAGGCTATTTGATCTAGACTTTGTTGACAACACCTCTCTTATCAGTGAGGATGCCAAGGGACTACAAAAATGCACATATCAAGTAAAAGTAGTAATGAAGAAGATAGGTTTGAGATTACATTTCTTTGCAATGTAAAGTCATGTTAATGGGGACTAGAGGGACAGAAATCAAAACTGAAGGTGAAACTGGAGAAGGCGGACAATTTTATGCATCTTGGAAGTACCATCAGCCAAGGTGGTACTAGTTCTGAGGAAAAAGATGAAGAAGAAGAAGAATCGGGAAGGCAAATGCTGCATTTGAAAGACACAAAAAACAAAAAAAAGACTCAAAAACATCAATGCCCCTCTGCCATGTACATTGGTCAAACTGGACAGTCTCTAAGTAAAAGAATAAATGGACACAAATCAGACGTCAAGAATTATAACATTCGTAAACCAGTCGGAGAACACTTCAACCTCTCTGGTCACGCGATTACAGACATGAAAGTCGCTAATTTACAACAAAAAAACTTCAAATCCAGACTCCAGAGAGAAACTGCTGAATTGGAATTCATTTGCAAATTGGATACAATTAACTTAGGCTTAAATAGAGATTGGGAGTGGCTTAGTCATTATGCAAGGTAGCCTATTTCCCCTTGTTTTTTCCTACCCCACCTCCCAGACGTTCTTGTTAAACCCTGGATTTGTGTTGGAAATGGCCCACCTTGATCATACACATTGTAAGGAGAGCGATCACTTTAGATAAGCTATTACCAGCAGGAGAGTGGGGTGGGAGGAGGTATTTTTTCATGCTTTGTGTGTATATAATAAGATCTTCTAAACTTTCCACAGTATGCATCCGATGAAGTGAGCTGTAGCTCACGAAAGCTTATGCTCAAATAAATTGGTTAGTCTCTAAGGTGCCACAAGTACTGCTTTTCTTTTTGCGAATACAGACTAACACAGCTGTTACTCTGAAACCTGTCAAAAACATCTGGCAACTCAAAAACATCTCCCTCAAGACAAAACTGAATGTGTACAAAGCAATTGTTATCACCATCACAACATATAGCAGTGAGACATGGCAACTTACCAAGAAAGATACACAAAAGCTGGATGCATTTCATAACAAATGTCTGAGAAGAATACTGGGAATAACAGAGATAGGAAGACGAATGAAGAAATCAGAAAAATTACCCTCTCACAAATAATCTACAAAAGAAGACATCAGTGGCTGGGACATGTGCTGAGAATGGAAAAAGAACGCTTACCAAAAACCGCCCTTGAATGGAAGCCAGAAAACATAAGAAGAAGGAGAGGAAGACAGCAAATAACATGGAAACTAACAGTTCTGAATGACATCAAGCACCTCAACATGAAATGGGAAGTTTTGGAGAGAAGGGCAGTTGACAGGCAAGGATGGCAAATGTGGGTAGCCCAGTGTGCAGCAAAGCACGGGATGGATTAAGGTCCGAGTAAAAGCACAAACCTTCACTAATTCACACTAACGACTGGGAGACCCAGGAGGTTTTTTTAAATTCATTTTGCAAATTAGCTAGGAAGCGAGAAAACATTTCAAAAATTCAGATTCTGCCTCGCAGAGAGAGGCTGAGAATGGTAGCTTAGCTCTAATTGAACTAGTACCATCACATACTACAGTATTCTTGATAGCATTCTCTGTATATTCTGCATAATGAAGCCTTAGGAATAAAAGGCCTACAGTGCCATCTAATAAAACCTTTGCTCGGAGGTGCAAATCAGTGAGATTCTACTGCAAGAATGATACTTTGCATTTCTATAGCAGCTTTCAGGCATTTTCACAAAATGCCTTACAGAAGTATCTTCTTTTTAAGAAGAGAGATGGAAACTGAGGTAGACACAGATAACGTGTCTTGCACAAGGTCATACGTCAAGACAGCTAGGAATAGACCCCAGGAGTCTTAACTCCTAATCCTGTGCTCCAGCCACTAGACTTAACCCAAAAAGAAAAGGAGTACTTGTGGCACCTTAGAGACTAACCAATTTATTTGAGCATGAGCTTAGATAATCAGGCAGGCAGTAAACAGCAGTAACTGTGCTTGGGGCACTCCGCAATCTAGAATTTAACTCAGGACACCAGACAGCATCCATCTGAGTGGCTGCAGCAACCCCTATGGATTGGGAGGAGTGGGAAGCAAGTCCTGTGAGTCTTGCTTTGTACTCAATTCCCCTCTACTAGGTTTTGCTCCCTAGTCTCAAGCCCCTCTTGAAATGAGGCATTTCCCACAAGATATACTGAGATTCCCAGAACCATGTCACATAACAAGAACATTTACAATATTCAGGAAGGGGGCGGAGGGGGAGAGAAGTCCCAGATTGTTCCAGGAAACGACAACATCTCTGAAATGACTTCATAGCAGGGAGGGCTCCCACCTCTTCCCCTGTCCCAGGCCAGTAACAATCCCACTGGAAGAGCCAGGTTCTTTCCATCCAGCCCAGCCAATGGAATGGTTCAAGAATGGAGGTCAGGCATGGGGGAGGGAGCTTCCTCCCTTCCCTCAGCCTAGCAAATTTCCCATAGTGCTGCCAAACTGGCTTCCCAGTCTAGTCAAGTAAGCCAGACAAGCCATTGCCTCTCTCATTCCAGTTGCTCCAGGGCATCATAACCATACCAGATGGTTGGATAGGAAACCCCCTTTGGCCTCTTCTCAGAGGAAATGAGAAATTCCTACTTCTCGTTTTCCCAAGGTTCCCCTGATCCCCTCTTCTCCTTCCTCTTGTCTGAGGACATCTGGACAATAAGAACTGTAATCAACCCCCTTTCACATATGATACCAAAACCCGGCTCAGTCCTTCCAAGCCAATGGCTTAAACTGTAGTGACTTTACACCTGCCTCAGCCCACTTTTGTCAAAGTTGCTAGACCCACACTTGACACATCTAGAAGGCAGATCAATATCCTCTCTCTAGGAAGCCTCCCCCTTTCTCCTGCCATGAGACAGACCATAAGAGTTAATGCCAGCCTCAACTCTTACACCAGGCACTCTAGGAAGGTAAAGGGCAGGCATTGCCTTGAGTCAGGTGTGGCCCACGTGCAGTTCTATAACCTAGGCAACCAGATCATCCCCTTTGGGGAGAGCCCCTAGGGCCCAATCTCTCCGAATTAAAGAACATGGCTGCAACCGGCTCCTTTCCAGCTCAGGCCAGTGTGCCCCTCGGGCCCCCAGTGAGCTCCAGCGGATCCCGCGTTTCCTTACACAAGCCCGACAGTCAACTGCCCAAGCCCCCTTCCGGCTTCCCGCGCCGAGGCAGGAGACCGGCGGCCTGCCCCCTGCGAAGCCCGATCCCGAACCCAGCCCGGCCGCGCCCCGCGCCCCCGGGACTCACCGCTGTGCGCGCTGAACCAGCGGGGCGCGATGTGCAGGGGCAGCGCGTCGGCGAGCGAGGCTCGCGGGCCCAGGTACAGCATCCCGTCTCCATGGCGACCGCCTCCGGTCTCCTGGTAACCGTCACCAGGGGCGTAGGCGGAGTCTGCGCCCGCGCCGCCGCCCGGGGCCCGCTCGGGGTCGCCCGCCGCCCGGGCCGCCGCGGCGTACAGGCCGAAGGGGACCCCGCCGGCCGCGCTCGGGTCCATGCCCATGCCCGCCACCGAGCTGACGGAGCGGCTGCGCAGCCCCATGGCGCCGCCGCCGGCCCGGTAGTGCCCGAAGTGGGGCGGCCCCCCGGGCGGGGGCACGGCGCTGTCGTCGGTGGAGACCCCCGGGAAGGGCCCCCGCGAGCGGGCCGCGGTGCTCTGCTTGCCGCCCATGGGCGGGCCCGGCCCGGCCTGCTGCCGCTCCGCGCCGCCCGAAGGAGGGCGCTCGGCCCCGAGCCCCTGCGGACACCCCTCGGCGGGGGAGGGGAGGCTGACGAAAAGGGAGGAGGCGGCGACGGCAAACTAGGAATTAAAATTCATCCGCGCCTGCGGCATGTCCCCGCCAAGTGCCGAGAGGCCCCGGCCGCTCGCCCACAGCCGCGGCGGGAGGAAGGGGAGACAGCAGGCAAGGCCCGCCCGCCCGCCTGGCGGCTAGCCGCCGCCGGGACGGTCTGCGCGCACTCCCGCAGCGAGGCTGGCTCAGCCTCCGGCCCGCTCAGCCCCGCAGGGGGCCTTGCCCGTGGAGCGGGGCCTCCCGCCGCCCAGCCCGGCCCGGCCCCTCGCCCAGCCCGGCCCGGCCCCTCGCCCGGCCGCCCGCTCTCTCGCCTCCGCCCCGGGCCGCTCTCTCCAGCGGCGCCTCGCGGCTGGGGCAGCGAGACAATAGAGGCTGCCAGGACGCATGCGCCCGCCTCCCTCCGCCCCCGCAGCCCGCATTAACCCCCTCACTGCCAGCCCCCATCGCCGGCTCGGCGCCTTCGGCGCGGGGGGCGGGCCGGGGAGCGAGGGGGGGTTAGAGATGCGCTCTCGGGGGGGGCGGCCCCACCTTCCCCGGCAGCGGGGACCTGCCCCTGCTTCCAGACCCTGCCCGAAAGCCCGCCTCGGGCGCACGCTTCGAGTCACCGTCAAAGCGGCGCACAGACTCGGCGCTGGGTGCTGGGCAGACGGGGCTGGGCACTGGGGATGGACAGGGCTGGGCGCTGGGGGCGGATGGGGCCGGGCACTGGGGATGGATGGGGCTGGGCGCTGCGGGCGGACGGGGCTGGGCGCTGGGGGCGGACGGGGCCGGGCGCTGGGGATGGATGGGGCCGGGCGCTGGGGATGGATGGGGCTGGGCGCTGCGGGCGGACGGGGCTGGGCGCTGGGGATGGGTGGACAGGGCTGGGCACTGGGGGCGGATGGGGCCGGGCGCTGGGGATGGGCGGACAGGGCTGGGCGCTGTGGGTGCGAGGGGCTGGGCGCTGGGGGTGGGGGGCTGGGCGCTGGAGATGAGAGACAGGCGGGGGGGGGGGGCTGGGCGCTGGGCGCTGGGGATGGATGGGGTGGGCGTGGGGATGGGGGACAGGGGGGGTGGGGGTGGTGGGGCTGGACGCTGGGTGCTGGGCAGATGGGGCTGGCACTGGGGATGGACAGGGTTGGGCGCTGGGGATGGGCGGACAGGGCTGGGCGCTGGGGGTGGTGGGACTGGACGCTGGGTGCTGGGCAGAGGGGCTGGGCACTGGGGATGGACAGGGCTGGGCGCTGGGGGCGGATGGGGCCGGGCGCTGGGGATGGATGGGGCTGGGCGCTGCGGGCGGACGGGGCTGGGCGCTGGGGATGGGTGGACAGGGCTGGGCACTGGGGGCGGATGGGGCCGGGCGCTGGGGATGGGCGGACAGGGCTGGGCGCTGTGGGTGCGAGGGGCTGGGCCCTGGGGGTGCGCGGGGCTGGGCGCTGGAGATGAGCAGACAGCGCTGGGGGCGGGCGGGGCTGGGCGCTGGGCGCTGGGGATGGATGGGGCTGGGCGCTGGGGATGGGCGGACAGGGCTGGGCGCTGGGGGTGCGTGGGGCTGGACGCTGGGTGCTGGGCAGATGGGGCTGGCACTGGGGATGGACAGGGTTGGGCGCTGGGGATGGGCGGACAGGGCTGGGCGCTGGGGGTGCGTGGGACTGGACGCTGGGTGCTGGGCAGACGGGGCTGGGCACTGGGGATGGACAGGGCTGGGCGCTGGGGGCGGATGGGGCCGGGCGCTGGGGATGGATGGGGCTGGGCGCTGCGGGCGGACGGGGCTGGGCGCTGGGGATGGGTGGACAGGGCTGGGCACTGGGGGCGGATGGGGCCGGGCGCTGGGGATGGGCGGACAGGGCTGGGCGCTGTGGGTGCGAGGGGCTGGGCCCTGGGGGTGCGCGGGGCTGGGCGCTGGAGATGAGCAGACAGCGCTGGGGGCGGGCGGGGCTGGGCGCTGGGGATGGATGGGGCTGGGCGCTGGGGATGGATGGGGCTGGGCGCTGGGGATGGGCGGACAGGGCTGGGCGCTGGGGGTGCGTGGGACTGGACGCTGGGTGCTGGGCAGACGGGGCTGGGCACTGGGGATGGACAGGGCTGGGCGCTGGGGGCGGATGGGGCTGGGCGCTGGGGATGGATGGGGCTGGGCGCTGCGGGCGGACGGGGCTGGGCGCTGGGGGTGCGCGGACAGGGCTGGGCGCTGGGGGCGGACGGGGCCGGGCGCTGGGGATGGATGGGGCTGGGCGCTGGGGATGGATGGGGCTGGGCGCTGCAGGCGGACGGGGCTGGGCGCTGGGGGTGCGCGGACAGGGCTGGGCGCTGGGGATGGATGGGGCCGGGCGCTGGGGATGGATGGGGCTGGGCGCTGCGGGCGGACGGGGCTGGGCGCTGGGGATGGGTGGACAGGGCTGGGCGCTGGGGATGGGTGGACAGGGCTGGGCACTGGGGGCGGATGGGGCCGGGCGCTGGGGATGGGCGGACAGGGCTGGGCGCTGTGGGTGCGAGGGGCTGGGCCCTGGGGGTGCGCGGGGCTGGGCGCTGGAGATGAGCAGACAGCGCTGGGGGCGGGCGGGGCTGGGCGCTGGGGATGGATGGGGCTGGGCGCTGGGGATGGGCGGACAGGGCTGGGCGCTGGGGGTGCGTGGGACTGGACGCTGGGTGCTGGGCAGATGGGGCTGGGCACTGGGGATGGACAGGGTTGGGCGCTGGGGATGGGCGGACAGGGCTGGACGCTGTGGGTGCACGGGGCTGGGCACTGGGGGCGGTCGGGGCCGGGCGCTGGATGCTGGGCGGACGGGGCCAGGTGCTGGGGATGGGCGGACGGGGCCGGGTGCTGGGGATGGGCGGACAGGGCCGGGCGCTGGGAATGGATGGGGCCGGGCGCTGGGGAGGGTCGGGGCTGGGTGCTGGGGATGGTCGGGGCTGGGCGCTGGGGATGGGCGGACAGGGCTGGATGCTGGGGGTGCACGGGGATGGGCGCTGGGGATGCGCAGGGCTGGGCGCTGGATGCTGGGTGGACGGGGCTGGGTGCTGGGAATGGGCAGACAGGGCCGGGCGCTGGGAATGGATGGGGCTGGGTGCTGGGGGTGTGTGGACAGGGCTGGACGCTGGGGGTGCGTGGGGCTGGGCGCTGGGGGCGGACGGGGCTGGGGAGGGTCGGGGCTGGGTGCTGGGGATGGTCGGGGCTGGGCGGTCAGGGCTGGACGCTGGGGGTGCACGGGGATGGACGCTGGGGATGCGCAGGGCTGGATGCTGGGTGGACGGGGCTGGGCGCTGGGAATGGGCGGACAGGGCCGGGCGCTGGGAATGGATGGGGCTGGGCGCTGGGGGTGCGCGGACAGGGCTGGGTGCTGGGGGCGCGTGGGGCTGGTCGCTGGGGGCGCGTGGGGCTGGGCGCTGGGGGCGGACAGGGCTGGGGATGGTCGGGGCTGGGCGCTGGGGATGGGCGGACAGGGCTGGGCGCTGGGGGTGCACGGGGATGGGCGCTGGGGATGCGCAGGGCTGGGCGCTGGGGAGGGACGGGGCTGGGTGCTGGGGGTGCTCAGGGCTGGTGGCTGGGGATGAGCAGACGGGGCTGGGGGCGGGCGGGGCTGGGCGCTGGGGATGGGCGGACGGGGCTGGGCGCTGGGGGTGCGCGGGGCTGGGCGCTGGGGAGGGACGGGGCTAGGCTCTGGGGGTGCGCGGACAGGGCTGGGCGCTGGGGGTGCGCGGGGCTGGGCTCTGGGGCAGCCGCAAGCCTCTGCTGCCGGTTATAATGGTGTGTGAAGCGCTGGCGGTGTGCTCTCATGGCGGAACAGTCCGGGGTCCATAGTTAAGGTTGCACCATAGATTTCAGTTTATTATTAATTTCACACTATTGCCTAGAGCCCATGGCAGAGATAGGGATCCATTGTGCTAGGCATGGTACAGACACATAATACGAGGCAGTTCCTGTCCCAAAATGCTTACAGCATTCAAACAGGCAAGACAGACAAAGGAAAGATTAATATCTCCATTTTAAAGTTGGGAAGCTGAAGCACAGACAAATAAATGAGTGGCTTTACTCATGTGAGTGACCTGGTTCGTTGACTTCAGTGGAACTGCTGGTGTGATTACATTTATGCAAATACACATGCATAACTTTGCAGATTTTTGGAGCAGAGACTGACTGTATTTTGCGGCAAAGAGTCCTGAGGCACCTTATAGACTAACAGACGTATTGGAGCATAAGCTTTTGTGGGTGAATACCTGCTTCTTCAGATGCATGTAGTGGAAATTTCCAGAGGCAGGTATAAATATGCAAGCAAGAATCAGGCGAGGGATAAGGAGGTTAGTTCAATCAGGGAGGATGAGGCCCTCTTCTAGCAGTTGAGCTGTGAACACCAAGGCAGGAGAAACTGCTTTTGTAGTTGGCGAGCCAGTCACAGTCTTTGTTTAATCCCAAGCTGATGGTGACAAATTTGCAAATGAACTGAAGCTCAGCAGTTTCTCTTTGAAGTCTGGTCCTGAAGATTTTTTGCTGCAGGATGGCTGCCTTTAAATCTGCTAGTGTGTGTCCAGGGAGGTTGAAGTGTTCTCCTACAGGTTTTTGTATATTGCATTCCTAATATCTGATTTGTGTCCATTTATCCTTTTATGTAGGGACTGTCCGGTTTGGCCAATGTGCATAGCAGAAGGGCATTGCTGGCACATGATGGCGTAGATTACATTGGTGGACGTGCAGGTGAATGAACCGGTGACGGTGTGGCTGATCTGGTTAGGTCCTGTGATGGTGTCGCTGGTGTAGATATGTGGGCAGAGTTGGCATCGAGGTTTGTTGCATGGATTGGTTTCTGAGTTAGAGTTACTATGGTGCGGTGTGTCATTGCTGGTGAGAATTCGCTTCAGGTTGGCGGGTTGTCTGTGGGCGAGGACTGGCCTGCCTCCTAAGGCCTGTGAAAGTGAGGCATTGTTGTCCAGGATGGGTTGTAGATCACTGATGATGGGTTCGAGAGGTTTTAGCTGAGGACTGTATGTGATGGCCAGTGGAGTTCTGTTGGTTTCTTTCTTGGGCTTGTCTCGAAGCAGGATGCTTCTGGTACACATCTGGCTCTGTTGATCTGTTTCCTTATTTCCTCGTGCGGGTATCGTAGTTTTGAGAATGCTTGGTGAAGATCTTGTAGGTGTTGGTCTCTGTCTGAGGGGTTGGAGCAAATGCGGTTGTACCTCAGCGCTTGGCTATAGACAATGGATCGTGTGGTGTGTCTGGGATGGAAGCTGGAGGTATGAAGGTAGGCATAGCGGTCGGTGGGTTTTTGGTATAGGGTGGTGTTAATGTGACTATTACTTATTTGCACCGTGGTGTCTAGGAAGTGGACCTCCCATGTAAATTGGTCTAGGCTGAGGTTGATGGTGGGGTGGAAACTGTTGAAATCGTGGTGGAATTCTTCCAGGGTTTCCTTCCCATGGGTCCAGATGATGAAGATGTCATCAGTGTAGTGTAGGTAGAGAAGGGGCGTGAGTGGACAAGAACTGAGGAAGTGTTGTTCCAGGTCAGCCATAAAAATGTTGGCATATTGTGGGGCCATGCGGGTGACCATAGTGGTGCCACTGGTCTGGAGGTATATATTGTCACCAAATTTGAAATAATTGTGCGTGAGGATAAAGTCACAGAGCTCAGCAACCATTTGTGCTGTGGCATCATCAGGGATACTGTTCCTGACAGCTTGTATTCCATCTGCGTGTGGGATGTTTGTGTAGAGAGTCTCTACATCCATGGTGGCTAGGATAGTGTTTTCTGGAAGATCACCAATGCATTGTAGTTTTCTCAGGAAATCAGTGGTGTCACGGAGAGAGCTGGGAGTGCTGGTGGTGTAGGGTCTGAGTAGAGAGTCCACATATCTGGACAATCCTTCAGTGAGAGTGCCAATGCCTGAGATGATGGGGCGTCCAGGATTTCCGGGTTTGTGGATCTTGGGTAGTAGATAGAATAACCCCAGTCGGGGCTCTAAGGGTATGTTGATTTGTTCCTGTGTTAGTGTAGGGAGTGTCCTGAGTAGATGGTGCAGTTTCTTGCGTATTCTTCAGTGGGATCTGAGGAAAGTGGCCTGTAGACTTTGGTATTGGAGAGTTGTCTGGCAGCCTCCTTTTGGTAGTCAGACCCATTCATAATGACAACAGCACTTCCTTTATCAGCCTCTTTGATTATAATGTCAGGGTTGTTTCTGAGGCTGTGGATGGCATTGCGTTCTGCATGACTTAGGTTATGAGGCAAGCATTGTTGTTTTTCCACTATTTCTGCCTGTGCACGTCAGCGGAAGCATTGTATATATAGGTCCAGACTGTCAGTTCGACCCTCGGGAGGAGTCCATGTGGAGTTCTTTTTCTTGTGCTGTTGGTGGGAGGGTATCTGTGTATCAGTGTGCTGTTCAGTGTTATCTTGAAAGTATTCTTTGAGTCAGAGATGGCGAAAGTAGGCTTCCAAATCACCCCAGAACTGTATCATGTTTGTGGGGGTGGTGGGGCAAAAAGAGAGTCCCCGAGATAGGACAGTCTCTTGTGCCGGGCTGAGTGTGTATCTGGATAGATTGACGATATTGCTGGGTGAGTTTGGGGTACCACTGTTGTGGCCACATGTGGCAGGTAGGATTTTAAACAGCTTACAGTCCTTTTTCCTTTGTAGGGAGGTGAAGTGTGTAATGTAGATCTCCTGTCTTATTTTAGCAAAGTCCATTTGTATGGAAGGTTGGTTATTTATGAGAGTCTCCAGGTCGGAGAGCTCTTTTTTGATGTTTTCCTGTTTGCTGTATTTGTCTGTATTTGCTGTTTGTCTGTATTTTGTGTCATGCACCCACAAAGCACACTGTGTCACGTCTTAATTAAAATAATAATGCATCCAGACCATTGTAAAAATGTCCTGTCCTTGTGCACTTCCACCACTCTGCTGGAGATTCTAATAGATTTTATTGTAAGGAAGTTTTTCTTGATAGTCAGCCAGAAAGTTTCTATTTGAATTCATCCCATTATTACTCTTAGGTCTTATGTTCTTTGTAGTACTTGAAATAATTCCTCTCCCTTCCTGTCACCTACACCATTCAAGTATTTGTAGATTTTTGTCATGTCCTCTCTTTGTCACTGATTGTGCAATTGTCAGTAGGGTGCCATGTGGATGTAGAGGTCTTACTATACATCTCATTGCAGAATTTGGGGCATCAGATTGTGACACACAACCAGGAAAAAAAAAAAGCAGTGACTTGGTGATTTGATATGGTATGATTGAGTGAAATAATTTTACCTTTCTCAGATTCCTTATGTGCAACAGGGCTAGATTGAAAAAATCCCAAATTAGCACTAGTAGGACCATTTTAGAATATTAACACCAAATAATTGTTACAACCTTATTTACTTTTCAGTATTTTTATTTTTTGGTTAGTTTTTGCATTTTACTTGGCTTCCCCTATGAAAATAGACTACTCAATTTTATTTGAAGTTATTTCCTAGTTAGTTTCACTTTCAGGTTCTCATATAGAATAAATCTTCAGCATTGCAGTTGCAAACGTTGGCCCCAGTCCTGCAAACATTTAAACACATGCTTAACTTTACTATTACAGTAAAATATCAGAGTTACGAATACCTCGGGAATGGAAGCTGTTCGTAACTCTGAACAAAACATTATGGTTGTTCTTTCAACAGTTTCAACTTGATTATCATACACATTGTAAGGAGAGTAATCACTTTAGATAAGCTATTACCAGCAGGAGAGTGGGGTGGGGGGAGAGAAAACTTTTTGTAGTGGTAAACACCCATTTTTTCATGCTTTGTGTGTATAAAAAGATCTTCTATACTTTCCACAGTATGCATCCGATGAAGTGACTTGTAGCTCACGAAAGCTTATGCTCAAATAAATTGGTTAGTCTCTAAGGTGCCACAAGTACTCCTTTTCTTTTTGCGAATACAGACTAACACGGCTGTTACTCTGAAACTTTTCAACAGTTTACAACTGAACATTGAAACAGCTTTGAAATTTTATTTGCAGAAGAAAATGCTGCTTTTAGCCATATTAATTTAAATGAAACAAGCACAGAAACAGTTTCCTTCCCTTTTCAAAACATTTTTTAACTTAAGTTTAACACGGTACTGTACTGTATTTGCTTTTTTGTAGTTGTTTTCTGTGCTGCTACCTGATTGTGTACTTCCGGTTCCAAATGAGGTGTGTAGTTGACTGCTCAGTTCATAACTCTGGTGTTTGTAACTCTGAGGTTCTACTGTATGAGTAATCCCATTAACTTCAATGGACCTACTCATGGTAGTAAAGTTAAGTACACGCACATAGACATTTTTACAAGATCAGGGCTGTGAGCAGTTTTATTAATTTTAGTGGGACTACTAATTTAAGCAAAATGAAGCATGCATCCAAGTGTTAGCAGGTTTGGGACCATTGTAAGGTAATGTTGAAACCCAAACACAAAACTATTTTTATTTTTAATCCCATTAAAGCAACTTTGTAAATACCAGCTTTTGTCAACATTTTTTATTTTAATAATTTTTACAGTACCTAAATTCAGGGCCTAACCTACCAACCAATAGCCTCTTAACCAATGGCAAAAAAAATACCTAAAGAAGAAAATATTTAGGTAACTGAAGAAAACTGCCTCGCTGCTCCTTTCATGAGCTCAGCAATGCAGTACAGGGCCCTGGGGAAGATGATTACACGCAGAAAGAGCTAGAGAGGGGTGTCAACTTGTGCTCTGAGTGCGAGTCTCCCAATAGTTGGTGTTTTTTCTTAAAGCCCCAGCTCCAGGAGTCATGGGATCCCGTGACGCTCACGGCCGGAGCGCTCCCTGCTAGGAGCGGCCACGCGCCTTGAGCGCACAGGCTGTGGGGGAGGAGCCCGGCTGCGCGAACGCTTCTCTGAGTCCTGCCTTGGGACACCGGGACTACATCTCCCAGCAGCCCTTGCTCTTCCGGCCGGGGGCGTGCGCAGTCGCGTCTCCAATGCCGTTCGCCTCGGCGGCGTCGCGCGGGGCGGCTGAAGATGGCGGCACGCTGGAGCAGCGAGAATGTGGTGGTGGAGTTCCGGGACTCGCAGGTAACAAGCCCCCGCAGCCTGCGGGAGAGCGCATGCGCCACGGCCTCCAGCCCCCCCCCCCCCCCCCGCCTGGTCCGTGTGGGGAGCGCCCTGCTTTCCCCCCTCCCATGGCACTGGGGCCGAGGGGGAGCCCGCCTGCGGCGCTCCCCGGCGCACGGGCCCCGCCAGGGCTCGGATCCTCCCGCCCAGCCCTCGCGCCGGGGGGCGCCTCTCCCAGCCCCCTGCGGGTGGGGCGGGCTGCTGCCTGGGCAGGGCCCTGCGCCCAGCGCCGCGATGCAGCCGCTTCTGGGGAGCCACGCAGCAGCGCGGTGGCGGCGTTGCGCCTGCCAGCGCCGGGCACTGCAGCCCCGCAGGGACAGGGCTCGGCTCAGGGGTCTGCAGGGGTGAGCAGGGCACTGGGCAGCTATTTAACAGCCACAGCACTGCGCAGAAATGTGGGGCGGGTAGTGAAGAGTCCATGCCCAGTCGGAGCTGCAGGGACACTGTCCGCTTGGAGGCATGCTGCCATTGCCTTGTCTGCGCCGCCTCCTCCTGGGCGTCGCTGATGTCGCCTCGTATGTGAATACGCCACCCCGGAGCCCCCGGGCGTAGACAGCGCTTCGTCGGCTGGAGACACGCTCCTTACAGTGGCATGGCTGTGCTGCTGCAGCCCTGCCCTGGGAAGGTGCCGGGTAGCCCCTCTTGGTCGCTGGGAGGGAGCTCTCCTGGCGACAAAATAAAACCACCCCCAACCAGGGGCGATCGCTTCACTGGTGGGAGAGCGGCTCCCCCCAGCAAAGCACTGTCCACACTGGTGCTTTTTATGGTTAAAACTTTTGTTGTTTAGGGGTGTGGTTTTTTACACCCCTGAGCAACAAAAGTTTTATTGCCAAAAGTGCCAGTGTAGACAAAACCAGAGCTACCTCCTCTGGCAAAGGTAGAGTAATTAAGTGGACAGGAGAGCTCTCTCCCATCGGCTTGGACATCTTCACCAGACGTGCTACAGTGGCACAGCTCCATCCGTGCCGTTGTAGCACTTCTAGTGTAGACTAGCTCATAGAAATGCAGGAGTGGAAGGGACCCCATGAGGTCATCAAGTCCAGCCCCCTGCACTGAGGCAGGACCAAATCTAGATCGATGCATCCGATGAAGTGAGCTGTAGCTCACAACAGCTTATGCTCAAATAAATTGGTTAGTCTCTAAGGTGCCACAAGTACTCCTCTTCTTTTTGCAAATACAGACTAACATGGCTGCTACTCTGAAACAAATCTAGACCATCGCTGACAGTTGTTTGTCCAATCTGTTCTTAAAAACCTCCAATGACAGAGATTCCACAGCCTCTCTAGTTAATTTGGTCCAGCATTTAACTTCTGTGACAGTTAAGAACTTTTCCCTAATGTTTAACTAAATCTCCCTTGCTACAATTCAAGCCTGTTACTTCTTGTCCCATCCTCCGTGGCTAAAGAGAACAATTTCTCACCCTCCTCTTTATATCAACCTTTTATATAGTTGAAGGCTGTTAACATGTCCCCACTCAGTCACCTCTATTCCAAACTAACAAACCCAATTTTTTCAATCTTTCCTCACAGGTCATTTTTCTAGCTCTCCTCTGGACCTTCTCTGATTTGTCCACATCTTTCTCAAAGTGTGGTGTCCACAACTGAACACAATACTCCCAGCTGAGGCCTTATCAGGGCTCCCTAGAATGGAGTAATTGCTACTTGTGTCTTGTGTAAAACACTTCTGCTAATACATCCCAGAACGATCACTTTGTTTGCAGCGTGTTACATTGTTGACTCTCATTTAGTCTATGCAAAAAGAAAAGGAGTACTTATGGCACCTTAGAGACTAACCAATTTATTTGAGCATGAGCTTTCGTGAGCTACAGCTCACTTCATCGGATGCATATCGTGGATGAAGTGAGCTGTAGCTCACGAAAGCTCATGCTCAAATAAATTGGTTAGTCTCTAAGGTGCCACAAGTACTCCTGCTACAGACTCGTGTTACTCTGAAACCTGAATTTAGTCGTCCACTATAATCTCCAGGTTCAGAGTACGGTGCATGAGCAGGCGGAGCTCCCCTCATAAATAATTTTAAAAAAAAACCACTTAATATCATCAGGGGGAAGAAAATCAGGTTTTCCAGGTACCTGGTTTGTGCTAAAGGGGATAAAATTTTATAATCTCCAGATCTTTTTCTGCAATATTCCTTCCTAGAGAAACAAGGTGGGTGAGGTAATATTTTTTTTTTATTGGATCAACTCTGTTGGTAAGTGGGGCAAACTTTCAAAGTACACAGGGCTTTTCAAGAGCTCTCTCTCGCCATCAAAAGTTGGTCCAATAAAAGCTATTACTTCATCCAGCTTGTCTCTAATCTCCTGGGCTGACATGGCTACAACACTGTATACTCCTTCCTAGGCCGTCATTTCCCATTTTGTATTTGTGGAATTGATTATTTCTTCCTAAGTGAAGTACTTTATCTGTGTCCTTATTCAATTTCATCCTATTTATTTCCGACCATTTCTCCAGTTTGTCAAGATCATTTTGAATTCTAATCCTGCCCTCCAAGGTGCTTGCAACCCCTCCCAGCTTGTTATCATACACAAACTTTATAAGTGTACTTTCTATGTCATTGTCCAAATTATATTTGAAGATATTGAATAAAATGGACTCAGGACAGATCCCTGTGGGACCCCACATGCTATATCCTTTTAGCTTGATTGTGAACCATTGATAATGTGCACCCACCTTGTAGTAGGTTCATCTAGGCTATATTTCTCTAGTTTGTTTAAGAGAAGTCATATGAGACAGTAACAAAAGCCTTACTGAAGTATAAAATCATACTTCTATCAAGAATTTTTTTTACCTGTTGTTGTTACAGTTGTTAACTGAGATGCCTGTAATTAAAATATTAGAGAGAAAATTCTCTCTCTTTTGGTGGTACTTGCTATATAGTCACTTTCAGAGTTTCCTTTGAAATTACAGTCATTTTCCCCTGTTGTTTGTGTGAGGCCTTAAAGCAGCAGTAGAGAGAGAGAGAATCCTAGAATATCAGGGTTGGAAGGGACCTCAGGAGGTCATCTAGTCCAACCCCTGCTCAAAGCAGGACCAATCCCCAACTAAATCATCCAAGCCAGGGCTTTGTCAAGCCGGGCCTTAAAACCCTCAAAAGAAGAAGATTCCACCACCTCCCTAGATAACGCATTCCAGTGTTTCACCACCCTCCTAGTGAAAAATTTTTTCCTAATATCCAACCTAAACCTCCCCCACTGCAACTAGAGACCATTACGCCTTGTCCTGTCATCTGCCACCACTGAGAACAATCTAGATCCATCCTCTTTGGAAGCCCTTTCAGGTAGTTGAAAGCAGCTATCAAATCCCCCCTCATTCTTCTCTTGTTTAAAAAATAAAATGTAATTGCTAAACCACAAAGTTTGGCAGGGATACTCAGTAGCGGGTGTATTAGCTGAAACTACTTTTAATTCAGTTGTAGAAACCTTTTAAAGTTGACTATCCCTTTAACTTTTTCAAAACAAGTTCTTATTAAAGTAAAGTTGAATAAAAATGTGAGCAGTAAATTGGGTTCCCCTGGTACTTTTAGCAATATTATTTTGTTTACAGCATATATTTTTAAATGTGTTGGTGTCTCTTTAATCCAGGATTTGGGCAAGATCCCAGAGTTAGGCCTATTTTTTTGAGAAATGCCTTGGAATTATTTATGACCATAAGTGTTCAAGGCCTTGGTTTTATGTTTTCTTCCAAACTACCAGATAAGACATACTTGTATCATTTTCCCCTTCTTTCAACATGCTTACCCTAGGTTTATTTTTTAACTCTTGGCTCGCCTGCCTCGCCCCTTTACTTAACTGCCGGGTGAGTGACTGACTCCGTCAAAGTATTTTCTGTTTCTTTCTCCTGAAATGGATTTTGGTAATCTGGACAGTTGCTGCTGGTTTCAGTGTTAGTGACCATCACAGCTACAACCCTTGCAAGGTGATGGGGATCTAAGCATGGCTGCAATCTGCAAAAGAGATTCATGGTGAATGGAAATGAATGACCAAGTTGATACGTAGAAACCTGGCTGCTTTCCTGTCCTGCACGTCTATTGCATTTAAGGTTCTTTTAATAAAATAGCAGAAAGATCTCTGGCAATAATCGTGGTAGGAAATCCTCTTGGCTTCATTTCCTTGAAATCCTTGTGTGAAAGTGTAGTTACTATCAAATATCTGAACAGCCAAGATAGCTCTGTGCCTGCTAAGCAACATATTTTTAAAAACTCATAACCTCTGTTGCCAAGAAAATGAGCATTTTAAATTGAAGTTTGTTGCTAAGCATCCCATGTTTTGCTGAATGCATACAATGCATACACTTAATCAATTGAGAGTAACTTTTTTATTGTTTTTGCTCAATTGCTGATCATATATTTATTCCTCTTATTAAAATGACTATACCCAGAGTTCTAGTATTTTTGTCCAGCTTAATCATCTAAAATCTGATGTGCAAATTATATCTTGTTCATTTAGCCATAACCCATTTAAAACATTTGGGGAACAGACCCATGTCTGACGTGCTGATTTACTGTTTCTGTTACTGCTGGGGTTGCTGGTGAAAGCAACATTTAAATTATTTTCTATGGCAGTTTATCTCTAGTCTACATTGTTCAATTGGGTTTGAGTGGAAGAAAATTGGGGGCCCTCTTTTCAAGAAAACAAGAAGGCAAACTTATATTTTGGAAGCTACTACTTATAGTGAAACTCTCTTACAAGTGCATCCAAATGCAGTTGTTTTAAAATATACCACATAAGGAAACATGCTTAAAAGAAGCACTAGCAATTGCAACAACAGTTGAAAACAGTAGCTCTGTCTGTTACAGTTCATAGAATATCAGGGTTGGAAGGGACCTCAGGAGGTCATCTAGTCCAACCCCCTGCTCAAAGCAGGACCGATCCCCAACTGCACCTGTATTCTCTCTCTGTGGTCCAGCAAGAGTTCCCACTTTTAGCTTCTAGCTCCCCAGCAGTC